CAGAAGACAGTGCTACTGGCCGTGGGGTCATCTCTCCTGGGATTGGAACCCCACCTCTGTCACTTCCACTCATGTGTGCTTGGGGAGGTCACCACCCCCTTGCTGTGCTTGAAGGTCATAAATCCTATCTCTGGAGTTGCTATAAAGATTATAAATGAACTTGGCTGGCAGCTCCGGGAGAGCAGGAGGCCCATCGGATTGGTCTCTCTTGTAGGCATGGCACTCAGCACAGTGCCTGGCACACAGTAGGTGCCCAGCCTAAAGGTGCCTGTTTCAATGACAACTGACTACCCCCTCCACTCAATTATGGGACCAGCCTGGTGTTGTGGCTAGATTCTCAGGGATGCCTGCTGGCTCCTTTCAGCAAGTATTCTAGAGAGCTATTGCTCTTCTGATAGACTAAAGGCCAGATAGCAGAAGTTCCCAAGATGCTTCTGGAATCTCTTAGAGAAACAGCATGTCCCTGCCTAGCATTTGTCCATACCTGTCTCCCAGGAACTCAGAAAAACTTCTATTCATTATCGCTCGCCCTGGCCAAGGTTCTGGGAGGCAGGCACAGCGACATCTTGATTATCTGTCATCCATCTATCATGCGATGCTGATGGAGGAGAGTTCTATCTAAACCAAGCTGTCCAGTAAGGACAACTGGGGAAAAAATGAGTCTTCCCAGGTCCGTGGATGAAAACAGCAGGCTGGTTTGAAATATCCAAAGCCGCCTCAGAAATGGAGAGGACAGGGGATCCCTGGGTGGCGCAGCGGTTTGGCGCCTGCCTTTGGCCCAGGGCGCGATCCTGGAGACCCGGGATCGAATCCCACATCGGGCTTCCGGTGCATGGAGCCTGCTTCTCCCTCTGCCTGTGTCTCTGCCTCTCTCTCTCTGTGACTATCATAAATAAATAAAAAAAAAATTAAAAAAAAAAAAAGAAATGGAGAGGACCTTCCTGCCTCAAAGAGCAGAACTGGGACCCTCCCCCTGAAGCCTGCAAGAGGGTGTCTGCATTCACATTAAATCCTGCGGTGTGCACACAGAAAGGAGTGGATGCAAGGAACTTCCATACTTTGAGTGGAAATGCAGACAGGAAATAGACACCGGCATCGCAGTGACGTGGGTGGACTTCCGAATGGCAGATCCAGGAGACAGTCCTCAGCTACCACTCCTTTCTTTCTCTGCTGCTGCCCTGCCCTCCCCTTCCCTGTGTCTCCTACTGCCCTCTCCTTCTATCCCCTCCTCCTTCCCCTCCAGCTCCCCAGGGGTCTACGAGCTGAGGGGTAGACCCCAGGGGTCTACGAGCCCACCAGCTGTGGCTCTGACTACACCAGACAACTCCAGGAAAGCGGGACCCAGCCCACCCCACCCCACCCCCAGAACACTGGGCCCTTGGGCCCTTGGGCTCCTCGGTGCAGCTCAGTGACCACCAGGCTGGGACACCTTGGCTTGCACCCCTTAAGGAAGGTGCTGCTTCTGGCAGGTCTTGGGGAAGGCAGTCAGGTCTGTCAGGTCTGGGGGATCTGGGCGTCCCCATGGGTCGGTCCCAGTGATCCTGTGCCGGGGGTCCTGAACACCAGCTCTCCCAGCCTGGACACCAGCTCTCCCAGCCTGGGGCCTCCAGGCCCCCGCTCCTGGGCTGCTGGTGGCCTGCTGTGCCCCCCAACCCATCCCTCCTTGGGTCAAAGATGAGGAGGGCAGATCCTCCCCTGCAGCCTGCACCTCTTCCCCAGGACCCCTTGTCCCCACCTTTGCCCTCAGACACCCTCCTCCTTCCCCTCCTCCCCGTGCACTCCAGCCCCCATCCCTTCTCACCACAGCTGCTCACTTGCCTGTTTGCCTGCTTCCCACTTCCTTCTGCCCTTCCTCCCCTTCTCCTGTCCTTCTAGGTCCTCTTCCTGGTAGACCTATTTCCAAGGTAGACTTGATTCAGTTCAACAACATTTACTGAGCAGCTGCTGTGAGCTGGGCTCTGTGCCAAGTCAGGGGGAGCGGGGAGGAGAGCCTGCACAGTCCTGACAGAATGGCTGGCAGGTGGGGGCTCCCCAACTCCTCTCTTTTTGCTTTTTTCTACTTCTTCTTCCTTCCTTCCTCCTCCTCCTTCTTAAGCCTCCTCCTTCTTCCTTCTTTCCCCCTCTTCCTCCTCCTCCTCCCCTTCTTCCTACTCCCCTCCCTCCCCTTTCTCCTCTTCTTCCCTTCCTCCTCCTTCTCCCCCTTTTCCCCTCTTCCCCTTCTTCTCCTCCTTCCCTTCTTCCTCCTCCCCCTTTCCTTCTCTCCACCTCCTTCCTCCCCTTTCCCCCTTCTCCTCTTCCCCTCCCTCCTTCTCCCCCCCTTCCTCCTCTTAACTCCTCTTTCATCCCTCTTCCCATGCCCTGTCCTGGCACCCACAGCCAGCGCTCAAGGTGGGAGCTGGGGTGAGTGAGGTATCAGCACCCCAGGAGACTCAGGGACAGGAGCCTAAATCCCGCCATCCCCGCATGGCAGGTGATGGATGGGCCTGAGCACCTGAGACACATTCATCAATGCCCACCTCCCTTTGGGGCCAAGGCAGGACAGAAATGACTTTTGTTGGCTCTGGTGGTAGCCCATTGCTCCTGGCAGCTCTGAGCTGTTTATTTTTAAAAATCAATAAATAAAAATAAAAAGTAAAGATAAAGCAAAGAGCGAGAAGGCTGTCTCGCCATGTGCTCGGGGAGAGACTCCAAGGCAATGATATTGACCACACACCTTCGGGTCCTCATAAAGGGGGCACTCCAGCCCACGTCCAGTGGTGACAGAGCTGGAAGGTGACAGCCAAGAAACGGGAAAGGAGGCAGATGCTCTTGGCAAATGGTGTGGCTGCCGTCCTAGCACTTGGGGACCAAGCTTTCTCAGGAACGATGAGCAGCCAGGTCACCTGCTGACTCACTCCTCTGCTCATCCCTCCTGGAGCTTGAACTGAGGCTTTCATGGAGTCCAGCTGTGGATTAGGCTCGAGATTCCTAGGAGTCTTTTTTTTTTAATTTTTTAATTTATTTATGATAGTCACAGAGAAAGAGAGAGAGAGAGGCAGAGACATAGGCAGAGGGAGAAGCAGGCTCCATGCACCGGGAGCCCGATGTGGGATTCGATCCCGGGTCTCCAGGATCGCACCCTGGACCAAAGGCAGGCGCCAAACCACTGCGCCACCCAGGGATCCCCGATTCCTAGGAGTCTTAAAGATCACCATGAGCTGTTTGTGATCCATGATGCACAACTGTTAGTTATTGGTTCTTAATTATTCATCTCGCCCCCATTCTTTGAGGAGCTAGGTGCCAGCCATTGTGCCCCAGTGCTTTTCTTTCATTCCTGTGACTTCACATGTCAGCACCATGCTTGCGTGCATCTCTTGCAGACTGGAAGCTGGATGGGCTTGTTCAAGACAGGAGGCTGGGAAAGGAGTGTGGGGAGCATGCCTCTGCCAGAGAAGTCCGGAGGATGGGGAAGAGAGTGGGTGATAGAGGTAGCTCACCTAGACCACCACCTTGACCCTGTGGTCGCCCCCATCATGACCATAACTTTGACCTTCCACCTAGCTGACCAAGGGAAGAAGGAGAAGCAGCTGAACACAGCCAGCCCTGTGCCTGTCACTCATGGAACTCTGTAACAGAGCATCATTGCCATGGTGACCTCCCACAAGCCAAGGTTCAGGGAGGCTCCTGCCAACCCCAGAAGAGAGAGCCATATGGGAAGGTTGAAGCTTTGGCTTTGGGAGCTCAGGAAGGCAAGGTCTATCTAGGTCCCTACCCATGTCCCTAGAAAGGACCCTGATCCCTTATCCCGCCTGTACCTTCCTATCGATCTGGGTATCCCCTCTAGGGACCATCAGCTTGGCTCCCTGAACAGATTAAAAAGCACTTTGGGTCATTGTGGTCCTCTCTTTTCCTTCTAAACTGTCCCGTGTGGTTGAGGTGGAAATGGTGATATCATACCACAGCAAGCAAGAAGCCCTCCCCAGAGTCTTGTGCCAGAATCCCAACACCCCTTATGTAAAGGGGGCTGAATCCCATTGTTACAGTTGGAGCAACAGTGTAGAGAAGCAGGATAATGATGAGAAACCTGCCTGAACATGGCCCTTGGCCATAATCAGGCTCCAGCCCCTGACTTTGTCCGCCATGCCAAAGCTCTGACATTCATCCCCCTTTTGCTTTTTCATAAATTATAAAACCTTACCATGGATGAGAAGGGGGTCATTTCTCTTAGGGGGAGGACAAATGGGTTTTATTTATTAAAGGAATGGTTGATGGACTCCGGTCTCTCTCCTGTAAAGATGCCCTTTATTTTATAGTCTATAATTTCACCTCGCTGCAAGGCTCCTACTTTTCAGAGGGGGAGTGTTCTTGGCTCAGCTGCTACAAAATGCCTCTGCATCAGAGCCAAGCCTGGTATAGTCCCGGAATAGAAACCGTCTGTCCTCTTGTGTATAGACTTGGTTTCGTGTCTATTTTATGAAAATCTTTCCCTTTGGGGGGGACTGTGCTTTTTACCTCCACCTCATAAGATAATCAAGGGTGTTGTGGAGCACCCCCACTGAGACGTATTTGGGTCACTGACTCTCAGAAGCCCTGCTTGGTGTAGGACCTTCCTCTGGGCTTGGCCCTAAATAAATAAATAGCCCCCCACGAATCCCCCTCGAGTCTTCAAGAAGTAAACCACTTATTTTGCAGCAGGTTCTGGGATGACAGGTCCTATCGTGTCAGGTATGATGGCTCATAAATCCAAGTCACCTGTCCTAACTGCAGTTTTAATCCACTCACATGTGCTTAGCTGGGTTTAATTATAGGCAGAAATTGCATTTCGGAAGGCAACAAGAAATCACTTACATGGCTTGAATTTGCGCATTACATGATTCTGTTCATTTGAGAGTGTGGTAGGGGTGGTGTGTCCAAAGAAAAATAGTATTAGCGCCTATGCTGAGCAGCTCTCACACCAGTTGCACAGATTGTATGCATTGCACAGTTTCCACTGACTGCATGCATGTGTCTTCCTGGCGCAGGATGAACGAGGAAGCTGGGGATGCAGAGAGGTCCCAGGCGGTGTCTGCCCTGAGCAGAGCAGCGGACGGTGCAGAGCCAGACCTCGGGGGACAAGTCTGTTTCTCCCCTCTGCCTCCGACGGCAAAAGTACTACCATCTGGGGGACGGCGACGAGCGTGGTGGGCAGAGAAAGTCCACGGAGAGATTGGGAGCGCGGTCTTCTTCCCCGGCTTCTCGGAGTGCAGACGCATCCCCGGCATCCCGGGAAAAGCTGCCCAGTCCCTCAGCAGCCCTGTCGGAGTTTGTGGAGGGTCTCCGGAGGAAGAGAGCTCAGAGGGGCCAGGGGTCCCCACTGGGCCTGGAGGACTGGCCCACTCTACCCATTTACCAGACCACTGGGGCTTCCACGCTGCGGAGGGCCAGGGCGGGCAGCGACGCCGGAGACCTCTCGCTGGGGCCTGGGGCCAAGGCAGCAGCCCCGGAGCCCCAGGGTGCCTGCGGGACGTCATCAGCCGGGCTCCTGCGGTCCACCAGCCTGAAATGCATCTCTTCCCAGGGCACGGAGGGCACCCCCCTGCTGCCTGAGAAGCTGAAGACCCGGTTCAGCTCCTGCGAGTCCCTCTTCGAATCGGGGCAGAACGTGGGGAGAAAACTGAGCTCCCCAAGCACAGCCAGGGACACGCTCTTGTCACCCACACTGCGCCCTCGGAGGCGCTGCCTGGAGTCCTCACTCGATGATGCGGGCTGTCCAGACCTGGGGAAGGAGCCACTCATCTTCCAGAACCGCCAGTTTGCCCACCTAATGGGAGAATCCCTGGACAGCGATCCATTCACCTGGAAGGTCCCAAGCCTCAACTACGAACGCAAGACCAAAGTGGATTTCGATGACTTCCTCCCGGCCATCCGGAGGCCTGAGACTCCTGTGTCCTTGACCAGAGCGGCCAAAGAGGGTCCAGGCAGTCCACGGCGTTCACGTATCCACTTTGAGACAGAGGAGGCTGACCGGAACGTTTTCTCAGGGATCAAGACCATTTTGAAAAAGAGTCCGGAGTCCAAGGAGGACCCTGCTCACCTCTCTGACTCGTCGTCCTCCTCCAGCTCCATCGTGTCTTTCAAAAGCGCCGACAGCATCAAGAGCCGACCAAGGATGCCACGGCTGGAGGGTGATGGTGGCGAGCGAACGTCCCCTGAGCACAGAGAGCCGGGGGTGGGGACAAAAGACGAGGATGTGGAGAGCATAATGAAGAAATACCTCCAGAAGTAGGAGCCAGTACAGGTAAAAAGCAACGGGCGGGGGCTGTTCTGGGGGGAGTGAACACCAAATAGCCCGCCCAGGCCTGCCAGCCTGGAGAAAACCTGTCGCTGCCACTGCCTTCCACGCTGTGAGTGATTTCTCTAGAGACGACGGGCTTTAGAGATTTTTGCAGAAATAATGAGTTGCTGCATCCAAAGCACTGTACTGACTCCTTAGTACTTTAAAATGCAGACCCATCAGAAAGCCAGAGGGTCCTGTGGGGCAATGCTAAAGAAGGTTCTGGGTCTTCGGTTTCCCCACTCTTGTCTTGTCTCTCCAGGCCTCCATTCCACCTGGAGCTGGAGGAGCCGTGGTGGTGCTCTGTTCACATTAATGACGGCAGATCTTGTGAGCTAGGCTCAGGCCAGGGTAGAAGGGGCTCTGGGAATAGTGGAGTCCAACTCTTGCATTAAATATCCAGAGAGAAACTGAGGCCCCAGGTAGGGGTTGGCGGAAGGGGAAGGAGCGAGGGCAAAGGTCCCAGAGCAGCAATGGGAGAAGTAGGGCTGCTCCCTGCCTTCTGTCCTACCCCAGTGCTAACCCTGGAACTTCTCCAGACTGAAGGTAGGAAGAGGAATCCATTGCTCATAATGGCTTACATTTGTTGGGTGTACATATCAAACAGGTGAGTTAAGATCCACTGTCACCCCCAAAAGGAGGTTAGTATGATTTATTCCCATTTCACACATTGGCAAACTGAGTCAAAGAGGTCAAGCCACTTGTACGAAGTCACCCAGGTGGAACTGGCATTAAAAACTCCAGAATCCCCACTGGTGACCCTAATACATGTTCTAAGCATGCACAGGAGTAAATGCAGAGCCTCTGTGACGGAGCTGGATCTTTAAAGAGGTTGCCTCCCTCAACATCACAACCATCTACACTTAAAGGGATGTTGGAACTCCCCAACTCCAACCTCCCCAGTAAAACAAATGAAGGAGACCTCAAGATCAAAGCCCCTCCCCGCCACAAAGTGAGTCTGCTGCCAACCCAGCCTACCTTGACCTCCAGTTTTGTGCTCTTTGCCCTGACGCAGGGCTGGCCCCTGACAAGTCCTCCCAGAGCATGTTTCAAACCTTGGGGCCCTGGGCATTTCCAGTTCACAGCTCCAGGCTGAAAGGCAAAGCCAGTTAGGGGAAAGCTGGGCATCAGCGGAGGACGTGTGAGCACCTCCCTCCTGGTCCAGACACAAGGCGAACCCTCTGCCCGGTAATAACGTGCGGCCTCCAGACATCTCTTAGCCACTGAACTGGAAGCAGCTCCAGGCCTTGCCTCCCTCCCCAGCCCCCCTTCTAGAGGCCCCCTGGACCCAAGCGAGCCACCCGGCCTCCACTTCCATAGACCTGCTACTTCGAGAGCCACCCTCAGCCCATCAAAAAGCCATTGCCCCTTCTGTGAAGATGGGCTTGGACTGTATCAGAGCAAATTAATTTGACTTAACATGGCCTTCTCTCTGCTCTCAATTACCGGGAAGAGATGTGATATTCATTTACATTATTATGCTCTCGGGGACACAGAAAGCAGTTTCAAAGGCCAAGTAAAGGGCACACGTCCATAAGGAGAACAGTTCTTAGCAGAAGTCATCACAGAACATCTTGTCTCTGCCATTTTTTTTTTTAAACTCAAGTTCTCCCTCCCAGCGGTGCTCACCGTGATAACAGAGCACCTGCCAAAAAAATCCTCCACGCTGGAGGTTTGAACTGAACAACACAGCCCCGGCCCCCATAAGGCAAATGTATTAGGAGATTCAGAACCAAGCAAGCTCCCTCAAAGCTCACGTCTTCCTTGTAACTGGCCATGAGATCTCAGGCAAGTGATGTGACCTGGCCAAGCACCTGTGTCCACAGCTCAAGGGCAGGGCAAATAATACCACCCCCCAAAGTAACACTGTGAGTTTGATGTGAGTGCCAGACATCCCCACCCTCGGGGAAGTGTCATTTTGTGCCGAGCTCGGACATTTGGCCCTTTGGGAGCTGTAACCTACGTGTGTCTCCACTCGTTCCCCTTCTGCTGCCTACGATCCTTCATTCCTCTGGGAACGGGTGGTGTCTCTGCAGGAGTGTCACCTGGGGATTTGGGACGCCAGGGCCTCCACCCCCAAAACACACCTCCTGCAACCCATTGATCCACTCTGACCTGCGTTTGTTTACAGCCTCCTGAGATGTACTGCCGTCGAAGACTTCCTGACTCCATAACTGGGGAGAGAGAGAGAGAGAGAGAGAGAGAGAGAGAGACCAGCCAGACCTCCCCAGGGACCCTCAGTCCAGAGCCAGCCAGCATGGCTGTGCTTGAGAGGCAAGAGGGGCCCAGCAGGAGGCATATCCCTCAGGCATGGGGATCCCAGCATGCTTGGTCTGTACAAAATAAAGCCATGGCTCCTTGACATCCATGTTTCCTCTCTGTTCTGTGATTATGGGACTCTGGAGGTTTCTACAGGGATGGAGGGGGGCCAGCACGGGTAGAAGGGTTCCAAGGAATGGGATCAGCCCAAACTGTTTGTAGTTTTGAGTGCATACTGCTATTTCTCTCCCCTATATAACTCCAGGCAATGGCCTTACTCATCTTCCTTGGCTGAGTCAACTCAAGTGCCACCTCCTCCAGGAAGTCTTCCCTGATACATCAAACTGACATAAATGCTCTTTCTCCATTCGCCCTTAATTCTCCTCTTTACCTCTATCATGGTTTCCTTGTCTGTCTGCATTGTGTATATACGTGTGGGCAAGAAATTTGGATGAATGAATGAATGAACGAGCCAACTGAAAAAGTTAAGGAACTTTATCGTGTGTGACACACTGACATGAATGCATCCCCACAAACGTGCCCCCGTATCAGCACTCAAGCACCTGTGAGCGTCTGCTCAGAGCCCACCACGCACATGCAAATATGCGCATGTACCACACACTACACTTGTCTAGGCACGTCTACAGCTTGGATACCTGCTTCTTCAACACTCTTGAAGTATTATATTAAAAGTGTGGGCTAGTGTTTATTATTCACATGCTACATTGGACACTGTGTTAAGCATTTGACATGGAGCATCACACCACAACTTTAGAAATAGTCCTGGGAGATAAATGTACTTATTATTCCCTGTTTACAAAGGCAATGCCAGCTTATGCCCACAGGAAGATGCCAATGCTACCTCTATTTAAATTCCCATGGGCATAGACTTTGTCCTATCCCCCATGTGCCCCTATGCCTGGGACACCTCCGGGATAGCCAATCAGAGCTCCCTCTGTGTGTTAGTTTGCTAGGGCTGCTGTAACAAAGTACCACAAAGTGGGTGGCTTAAACGACAAATGTATCACCCTATGGTTTTGGGGGCTAAAAGTCCAAGAGGCAGGTGTCAGTAGGTCTGGTTTCTTTGGACATCTCTCCTTGGCTTGTAGACAGCGCCTTCTCCCTGTGTTCACATGGCCTGTCTGCATGCATCCCTCCTCGTCTCCCCGTGTGTCTAAATGTACCCTTCTTATAAGGACACCAGTCAGCTTGGATTGGGCCAATGCAAAGGGATTCGCTTTACCAGAATCACCCCTTTCAAAGTCCCAACTGCAAATACAGTCACATTCTGAAGTGCTTTGCGTCAGGGCTTCCCCATGCACTGTTTGTAGATATCATAATTCAGCTCAACCTGTGCTCTGCAAAAGTAGGTGGTAATTTAATTTGCTAATAGTGTGCATTATTCATGTAGTGATCAGATAAATATGTCCCAAGCTCCCAGTTTGGTCCCCAAATGAAAGCAATTATAGAACTCAAGAAAAGATTTGCATTGCCTTCCTGGCATTGGAGATTTGCGGGCATTTTTAGGGCCTGGAACCTGTGAGTTTTCAGGAGCTTCGTTTCCTGTGCCAGCAGGATTCCTCATTGAACCAATATTTGTTGGGCACCTGCTAAGTGCCAGGCACTGTTCCCCACAGGGGGGATCCATGGTAAGCAGTCAGAGCCCCTCCTGCGTGTCTAGAGGGAACATCCTACCTGGGGAGACAGGCAGTAAGCAGAAAATAAATGTTTTCAGAGAACGAGAAGCGCAATAAAGAAAAATAAGGATGAAATTATCTTGCGAGTTCTGTGAGTTCCCTGTTAAAAATTTACTGGACAATTTATTTTATGAAGTCCATTTTGGTAAAGGAGAAACCTGTCATTATTCTTCAATGATGTGTGAGCAGTGCATCCATAAAGGTTAAACCCAAGTCATAGCAGCAAAGCTCCCTTCACTGTTGCGCAGGAGACGGAAATCCCAAAGATGCTCCCTCATTAGAAGTGAGCTTAACATCCCGGAAGATGATGACTGCCCCCTTGCCCCTCAGATCCCCCCAACTCAACACGGCCTGATGCAGAAGCCACTGACTCAGTTTGGTCTTCCTCCTTGGAAGCCACCTGCAGAAACCCCCAGGTGGACCCTGGTGTCACATTGCATCTTGTTCAGCCCAGGACCCAGTGCAGTAAGTGCCACCCAAGCCACCACTTCTATATGAATATCAAAATGGCTCAAGCCCTTGGCTCCGCCATCCCCTCCCTGTGTGACCTCAGCCAGTTCCTTCTTTCTGGGCCCTCCTTCCCTCATCTGTGCAAGGGATCTGGAACTCATAGCAACCGGCCCACCAGCACCTTGTGAAGTCCACACTCCCCGAAGCACAGTGTCCGGCACGTCAGCTCACAGTAAGCAGTGGCTCCATTGACCTTCGGGCATGCCCAAGTCGGAGGCTCCATCTGCATGGCCATGCCTTCCAGGGGCTTCCCTGCCAGCATAATGGAAGTTATTTGAGAGGTGGGAGTGGTTAAGCAGCCATCCCAAATGTCTCCTCTTGTTTCTGTGCCCGGGATCTTAAAAGAACCCTATAGTCTCAGGACAAGAAGAAAGAAACTTGGGGTAATTTTACAGGAAAGGCAAGTGGGACTCAGAGAGGGAAAAGATGTGTCCAAAGGCAGATCTGAATTTAAGACCCAGTTAACATTTTTTCATTCAGTAAATATTTACAGATCCTCCCACCACCCCCACATGCTGGGCTCTGTTGCAGGCACTGAAGATAAGGCTGAGGCTGGGGTGGGAGGAGGGCTGCCTTTGCGAAGCTTACGTCTTACGAGAATAATAAACTTGGAGTTAGGCATCAGCTGTGCCCACATCACCTGATGTCCTGTCCATCATCCACCTGCTACGGGTCATCCTCCTGTGTCTGCACCATCCCATCCCTGCCCAGATGCTCCGCAGGCCACCGGAGATCCAGCCCTGTCCCAGACCCATGGCCAACTGCACAGTTTAGGGCTGAGGAATTGAGGGTTTGTATTCTTTCCTAATCCCAGGGATCATTCCGTGGAAAGAACAAGAGAAGGTAGACATTGCAGCTGGGAGAGGCAGATGCCAGAGGATGTCGGCTGTGGCCATGGACGGCTCTAGATGTGATTAATGGCTTAACCAGGCTCCCGCTGTTGTCTTTAGGAGATGACAGGCAGCTGAGGCTCTGTTCCCACCACCCCTGTCCCGGTTGCTTATTCACCTGTCAGCGTGGGCAGCTCCCTTCAGAGCACAGTGCCAGATGCTAAGCAGTAGCCTTGGTGACAAGGTGAGGTGGTGACCTTGTCACCCTGTGTTCAGAGCCACCAACAGCTCCCACTCCTCATATGTCGGCAAGAAGCTAGGTGCTGTGCTCGGGGGTATTTAACATCACTTCTAAGAGGCAGATGGTTGGGGGTCCACTGCTCTATCAATCACCCCTCACATTCTATTCATGCAAGATGAAATTAAAAATGACTCAGATGCTGCTTTATGACGGCCACATGAAGGCCAGTACCCCCTTTCTGGGTTCTGATAAAACCGTGCTCATACCGCTTGCCATCAGCTTGGAGAGTTCAGTGGAGTAGCTTATGTCAACCCTCCCCATCTCGAATCTCCTGTAATCTCAAGTCTGTGATCTTCCTGTTCTGGCTGGCCACAAAGGGCGGGCGGGGGGTGGTGGGGATGCAGCTGTACTTGCAGAAAGTCCTTGGCCTTATGTCGTTGCCACCTGTCCTTGGGAGCATCTGCTGCAAGAGGTGGAAGGATGCTGGGGTGTGCAACCCTGTAAGGCACAGTGGTCTTACCCCCTGGTACACTCAGTCCAGAGACTACGGCTGGTTCTCACCAATTCAATGAGTAACAGTTCTTCACGCTCAATGGGTGAATCAGAGGAGAGGGTTGGAGGGTCCACCCCGCAGTCAGACATTGAGGTTCAGGAAGAACGTGAGAAGGACAAGTGAAGCTGTGATCTGAACCCAAGGCCCTGACTCCTAAGCCCACCATTCTTTTTTTTTTTTGAAATTTTTTAATTAATTAATTAATTTATTTATGATAGTCACACAGAGAGAGAGAGAGAGGCAGAGACACAGGCAGAGGGAGAAGCAGGCTCCATGCACCGGGAGCCCGATGTGGGACTCGATCCCGGGTCTCCAGGATCGCGCCCTGGGCCAAAGGCAGGCGCCAAACCGCTGCGCCACCCAGGGACCCCTAAGCCCGCCATTCTTATAAGAAGACCATGGGCCAAGCTTGGTAGTGTAGACTGTGATTCCCACAAGGTCAGCTGGTAGCATGGGCCTATGGGGAATATCGCTTCTCCTTCCGCCATCTCTCTCTGGCCAAAGTCAGCCCCACTTGCTCCATCTGGAGGTCATGTGCCCAATGGCCTGGAATGGCTTTGGATTTTTTTTCCCCTCTTTGCCACTTTTTAAGCTGGGATCTCAAGCAGTTTATTAAACTCCACTAGGCCTTGGGTAATAAGCAGTGGGAGAGGAATTCCTGGTTTTAGAGCTTGTTTGGTCCACAGAAGCACCAGCACACAGGGTCACTGAGCCCATTTTAGAGATGACAAAACTGAGGCTTAGGAAGACTGAGTGACTGACCGAGTTGGCAGCGGAGGAGCTAGGATCGGAGTTCAGAGCTTCCTTGTCCAGTGCTCCCTGGCGTCCTCCCAGTCTTCTGGCCTGGTCGCCTGGCCCACATGGGGAGTGGCTGAAAGGGTGTCTGGCTCCAACCCAGGCAGAGACCCCGTAAGTGAGGGCCCAACGTGAGCAGACGTTCACCTCTATTGTCAGCTCTGATCTCAAGCAACTCCCTTGAAGGTGGCATGGGATCATCCAGGAGGGGACGACTCTAGGGGTGCCTCGCCAGCCCTCCTGACTTTGAAGGAATCCAGTTCTGTGCATAAGGGGTGGAGTGGCTTATCCCAAATTGCCACAGCATGAGACACCACCGGATAGATTTAAAGGTGTCCTTTCCAGGAAAGAGAGAGGCTTCTAGAAAATCATCCTGGCTGCTGGCAGCTCATGGGGTGCCTCAATTGGAGTTAGGTGGGTGGGCCACTGCCCGCCACAGCTATGTCCCCGAAGTCCCCAAGGGAACCCTGCATGGCA